GCTTTTTGAATACGAGAACACCTTTATGACTCAAGTAGCAATGTATAGTGGAGGAGATTTTAGATGATGACCTATGGGTGCCATTTGGAAAGTTTTTTTTGTGGTATATATTTGGAAAAATGCTTTCTTTTCACAGCTTATCACACCAGATAAGCTGATGTCAACTTGATTGAACCTATCTTTCCCCTCTCCTCTGAAATAAGAAGAAGGTGGCTTCTTTCTGTAATCTGTCTTCTGCCCCCTACTGTCTTCTTGAAATCTGTGATGATCTAAAAGCCAAATCCAATGAGTATTTTTTAGCTCCCATCCAGTTTGAAACCTCCTTGCTAATGATTTTCTCTTTTGAAACTGTCTTTGGTTTCAGCATATCTTCTCTTCGTTGTCTTTCCACCTCTCTCAATACGTTTTTTCCAGTCATTCTCATGAGCATTTTCTTTTCTTCCCATACAGTACTATTGGTACTTCCCGTATATAAGCAAACTTCTTCTCTATTTGTCTAGAGTTCCTCCTTGGGTTATTTTTTTCACTCTTTTGTCTTTATTTATAAGACAAATATCTATCTATATTATCTCAATATCTACCACTCCCTGCCAGTTCATCTTCTCTCTGAAGCTTCAGAAATCCTTCTGGACATTGCCACTTGTATCCTCTTAAGATGTAAATGAAACAAACCCAACATCAAGCTCATTATCTCCTACTTGCGTCTTCTTTTGCATTTTCTATCTCACTTAGTGACATCACCATTTATTAAACAACTCTCCCCTCCTAAATCTGATGGATAACTCATATTTATCTTTGAACTCTCACTTTCACGTCTAGTTGACTGCTGGCTTATTTTGTTGGTTCTTCTAAATTAATTCAACTACTCTCTATTCTCAATGCTTCTTTTTTAGTTTAAACCTTTACCTCTTCTAACCCATCTTATTGCAAAAGCCTACTAACTATAGGCAAAGTACCTAAATTGTTCTCCTTCAGCAGAATGCTTTAGTCACACTGGTGCCAGATATGATCATTTGCCTCTTTGTTTAAAATTATGATGGCTTCCTATGCTTACAAGGCAAAGCAGATCTTTCATTCATTCATTCAATTAATATAATGAATTTCTACCATGAGGCTAACACTGAATAAATATTGATGAACAAAGACTAATATTCTATATTTTTTCCTCTACTCAACAATCTAATTCCAACATAATTCTATGAATTTATTTTCTTCTTCCCAACACACCCTCCCCACTGCCTATACCTTCTACTGCTTCATTCTTTGAAAGGTATTCTATACTCCAGCTTTTCAGATATTTTATATATTCTGCTAAGATATTATTATCTAGCATCTTGGTGGACTCCTGCTTATTGAGAGACACTTCTCCATGAATCTCTTACATTTCTACATTTCCTGTGACAAAGACACTCACTGCCCTTGTTCTGGATTATCTGTTCCAGGATGTTTGTATGGCAAGCAGCCTTGCAAGATCAAAAGTATCTTCCTCTGGAGCAAAGGGCAGGCATATTTATTGCCTGTTATAAAAAAGTTGGGCTTCCTAAGCTCAAGGTTTCTCCCCTGTGATGCAACCCACTGTATGTGCAAGTGTTACCTGGCCCTTGTTGGGTCACTATGGGAACTAGGACTCAGTGAACTGGTATAAGAAAGTGCTAATACTCTGGCTGTGGTTATGGCTGTGAATGATAAAGACCTTTCTGTTTGATTCAGGAATCTCATGTCTTCTGTCAGCATCCATGAAACTGTTGCAAGATAATTTGCTAGTTTGCTAGTAGGGTAAAATCTCAAAACTTCAGAGTTCTTGATACTATTCCTCTTTCAAGATCCAGCTTAAGTGTTTCCTTTTTGAGGAAAATATCACTGATTCTTCCAGACAAACTTATTCTTGTCAATCTGTGATTTTCCAGAGTATTGCTCTTTTTAGTAATTGACAAATTATGTTGTGATTATGCCTTTCTAAGCCTGTCTCCTTGCTATGTTAGTAGCCCTTTAGAATTAGATAGCAAGTCCCAGCTACCTGGTAGCATTTATGGAATGCATATTAAGATATTAAAAAAATTGATGAATCAATGGATGCAATTCTTTTTCTTTTCCTGACTTCCTCCTAGTCAGCCTCATCTTCTTTCTAATATCTGAGATATTGAGGAATTTATTTAAATTTTCCTTTTAAAACATTATCTTCCTACTCTCATTCTATAACCACTGGAAAAATTGACTTCTATACCCTCTAGTCCAGTCAGAAATTTCCCCACCATGGAAATGTGTGCATGTTTGAGTTGCTTCCTCCTTTGTGGTATAAGGCCAAATTCCCAAGAATACAGAAAATAACTTGTTATTGAACATCCTCACTTCCAACATTTTGTATAAAAGTGGGTTTATCTTACTGTATATGTCCTTGTACTAAATGAAATCATCTTGTTAAAATGTTTCAATTTTCTTTTTAACCCTTAAGATGTTACGAACCACAGCTTGACGTTGACTGAATGAATGTGCTCTTGATTCTAGTTTGTGATATAGGGAATCACGCTATGATCAGGCTGTTTTAGTTGTTGCTGTTAGTGACTATTTGAGTTTTCCACCATCCAGGCTTCTATTGTTATGGTCACATTTTCTATAGTACCAGGTATTACCTAATTATCTTTTAGAATTGGCCACAAAAAGAGTAAGAAAACCAAATTTAGGAGAATGGTGGGAAGGGCAATAGAAATAAACAAGCTTGAGTATTAGTCAAGATAGTACAAGCCATTGCCTCATAACAAACAAACCACCAAATCTCATTGGCTTGACTCAGTGGGTCCATATGAGTCTCCAGGAAAACTTATCTTCCAGACAGTAACTGGACAATTGAAGCTACTTAGATCTTGAGGCTCCATTCTCTCCTCACCTCAGTAGGATGCCTCAACAGGGGAAGCGTGAATGGAGAGTTCATAACCTTCAAATCCCACCGGCCAGAGGTAATCACATGGTACCATCAAATTGCAAAGGCTGAGAATAGTGGTGACCATTACTAATGAGAACAGAACTAAATTTATCTGGATTTTGAGAGAAAGGTTTCAGTCATGTGAAAGAATATCAAGTCTGAGAGGAAATGAACATTTACTGGGTACCTACTGCAGAAGTTCCTCAGGTTTTCAATTTATGGCACCCTCAGTGTCTTGGTTGTTTTTGTATGGATTCGTAGGCCAAAATAAATAACTAACTATGACGTTGATTGAGTGATTAGGTCCAAACGTCTTAAAATGTATTTATATACTAACAACTTAGCTGCTTCTTGAGAAAAAATAAATTTGTTGAAAGTTGAAAGAAAAAAATTTTAATTTTAGTCTTAACCACAGTTACTTACTAAAAAGATGTGTAGGACTTTTGGGCACCGTGCACCTCTTCAGGTGTTGAAATCAGATTTGACAAAACACCCCCATTTCCTGTTCTGCTTTGATTTTCATGCTTATTAGCTTTTTGTCCAGCAACAACCAAAACTCAGCATCACAAAGATGTGATGTCATTGACAGGAATGTAGTATGGTCTAATGTTGAATCTGTGAACTACTTGAGCTACTAGTTCACACAGTGGCTGACAGATTTCAAATTTTGCGTATTTCCCCTGAAAATTTAAAAAATCCCATGATGCCCCTGTAAGTGTGCTGCAGTGCCCTGGAGTGCCTCAACACACAATTTGGAAACCATAGGCCTATTGTCTAGGTACTAAATATAGATCACTTTCTTCTCCCAGTAGTTTGGAAGGTAGGTGTTATCATTCGCAACTTGGATGAGAAAATTAAGGTTAGAAAAGGGCATGAATTCTACCCCAAACCTCCTACTTAGTAATTAGCAGAATAGAGGCTTGAAACCAAGCCTTCTGGCTCCAGCCCCCATTGCATCATGCCCTGTGTCATGAGATTTGCATGATTAAGGTTTTCACAGCTTCCTCTCTTCATGACTTTTCCTGGGTTTCAAGCAACATTGAAATGACTATTTTTTTAAACATGTGGAAGTGCTTGCAACTCATGGAAATGATTTTAAGTCATGTCTACATTTTTAGCTTTAAGGCACACCTGCTTGAAAATAAATTCTCTTGAGCAGAGATTAAAGAACTTTAAAATGGTCTTAAAATGGCCCCAAGGAAGATTGTTTAAGCTTTGAAATGAAGACAGTACATTTCCAATTAACTTGCAATTATTTTACTGCTAATTTTTAATGTGACATTTAGTATGGACCACATATCACTTTTTCTCCAGCTGTCAGGGCAGTCCCTAAACTAAACCTTCTTCACCAGCTGTTGCCTAATTCAAAATGGTCCGTGTTGGAATTTTTCCAACTCTGCCTGCATATAATTTCTAAGTCTCAACAGACCTGTGCAAAAAAGAATCATAACTATAATCTTTCATGTTACTCATAGCTCTATTTAATTATCTGAAATACTACCTGATAAATAGTGTAATCAGAAGAATTCCCATTTAACAGTAACTACTTCCACATCACTTTTCTGCTCTCATCTAATTTGAAACAGGTTTTGAATTACTACCTCTAAATTATGTAAACTCCTAGTCAGTGATTAATTTAAGAATCTTCAAGCTGCTTCCTCTTTTTTCCTTTTTTGTGTGTGGTTCCTAAGTGTCAATAAATTCAGGCCTAGTCAAATGAAATTTTTTTCTTCCCTAGACTTTTTATGCCTTTATTTTCTACTGAGCTTATTGAGAGGACAAAAGATGGGTAGTTAGAACCAAAGAGTAAGTGCTTACAACAAAATTCCTTTCAAAGAAAATGTCTTTTAATGTAGAATTAAAAGTACATTTGTATTAAATGCCTCTGACACAGGTTGTAGTTCAGAGAAATAGCTGAAGTTAAGTGAAAAACTGTTCTTCATTTAAAAACAAATTTGTCAACAAATGGCGATAGAGTGACATTTATTGAGTACTCTGTAAATGCGAGGGATTTTACATTTATTTTGTTTGAACCTAAACACAACAATAGGAGGTCATTGTTATTACCTTCATTTTGCAGATGAGAAAACTGAGAGCTGAGAGTTTGAAGAAATCTGCCAATTTTACAAGTGAATAAATGTTAGCGCTCGCATTCAAACTCAGGTGGGTCTGACATCAACATCATAGCCGTGGCTTTTGCCCACGGGCTGTGCAGCCTTCAGATCAAGACATGTGGGGATGGGCTCATATCTTTTATGTTTCATAATGGCCATTGAATATGAAAACATGACATTAACTTTTTTATTTATCAAATATCTATTGAGTGCTACAATGTGATTGGCACTTTTCTGAGAGCAAATTAGTGCTAATTGTGAATATTGACATTTATTAAGCTGTATAACTTATATGCATTTTCTAAAACTCTGTGATTTATTTTTAGCTTTTCTGTTATTTGGCATTTGGGATTTCGAAGGATCCCAGTAAGTTGGTGATGATCTAGAATATTGAAAAAATGTTGGGCTGGATCCCAGGAGACCTGTGGATCTGTGTTTGCCTTTTCCACTTGGTACCTTGGTGATCAAGAGTCAATTTCTATGTCCAGGGCTCATTTTCTTTGTTTGTATAATGAGAGGATTAAAATGTATCATTTGAGGTTCTTCTGAGTACTAAAATTCTATGATTTTACTAAGCACACTCATGTTCTATAGGTCATTCCCAATGATCTATGTGAATACAGTGAAATGCTGGTGGTATATATAATTCAGAACTGAAAGAAATCTCTTTGAATTGGGCTTTGGGAAGTATAAATGAGGTCCAGTGAATGAAACCTTTAAAGCACTATGCCAATTGTATTAGTTTTCTATTGCTGTGTACCACAAATTTTGTGGCTTATAACAATGCACATTTATTATCTCATGCTTTTCATGAGTTAAGAGTCTCAGCATGGTTTAGCTGGGTCTTCTGCTCAGGGTCTCACAAAACTGTAATCCAGGTGTCAGTGGGTACTTTCGTTTCTGGGGCTTGGTCTTCTTCCAAGTTATGGTGGCAAAATTCATTTTCTTCTGGTTGCAGAATGGAGGTCCCCATTTTCTTGTTGGCTGTCAGCTGAGAGCAGGTGACTCTCAGCTCCGAGAGGTTGCCTGCCATTTCTTGCTCTTTGGCTCCCTAAGAAGCCATCTCAAAACCTGGAAGCTTACTTCTTCAAGCCAACAAAGAATAATCTCTTCCTCCTGTCTGCTAACATGAAGTTTTACGTAACTGCACTGAGTTGAATGGTATCCCCCAAAATTCATATCTACCTGGATCCTCACAATTTGCCCGTATTTAGAAACAGGGTCTTTGCAGACATAATTAGTCAAGTTAAGATGAGGTCATACTGGAGTTAAGTAGGCCCTACTCTAATGACTGGTATCCTTATAAGAAAATAGAGGCACATAGACACACAGAGGGAAGATGGTCAAATGACAACAGAGCCAGAGATTACAGTTAGGCTGCTACAAGCCAAAGAACGCTAAGGAATACCAGCAGCTAGAAGAGGCAAGGAAAAATTCCTCCCCTAGAGCCTTCAGAGAGGGCGTAGACCTACAGACACCTTGTTTGCAGACTTCTAGCCTCCAGAACTGTGAGAGGATAAATTTCTGCTTGTTTGAGCCACCAAATTTGTGGGTTTTGTTATGGCAGCCCTAGACAATGAATACAATAACATAGGGTAATCATGGGAATAGCAATATCCCATTACTTTTGCTATATAATATAACCAAATCAAGAACTGACATCCTATCAGCGTTGCCATTTTCTATTGATTAGAAGCAAGTCAGAGATTCCTCCCACACTGAAGGGGAAAGGATTGTATAAGGCAATGCCTAATTGAAATCACCTTAGGATGTATCTGCCACATCAATGCAAGGTTATCTTATTTTGTGAAGATGGACCCTTCTATTAGGTAGAAATTGATGTAGGCATCCCTGTCTAACTCTCCTTACCATTTCTAATTATCTCAAAATTATCTGCAGAGATATTTTATTAAAAAGTTTCAGTGTAATGAATGTTTTTTAAAAATAATGACTCTTTTCTTTAAGTCCATCACTCTTGACATTTTATGTGCTCTTAATTGTCTTTTTAAAATGGATTTGTTGATACTTTGACTACAAGTTGTTCTGAAGATGAAAGGTGTTCGACCATTTGAGAATATAAAAAAGAGAAACAGAGAAGTTTATTACCTAAGCACCACCCTCTTAAAAACATTAGCACTCTAAGAGATATTGGTCAACTGATCAATATTCCATTGAGCACCTACCATCTACTCAGCACTGTACAAGAGTAGTATACTTTAGAATATCTTCACTATTTCAAATGATAAAATGATGTAGTCAAAGCCAAGCTGAGACTTGTCAGTCAGCAAAAGTCATTGCCCTCAGATTATCTAGGATATACTTACACAAAACATTAGTAGATTCCATTATATTTATTAGATTTCACAGAAATGCAGTTAAGGGTTAGCAGGAACCAACAAAGCAAAGCAATGACTGTATTTATTATAGGGACTCTGTGGTTTTCACATTGGTTCTTGAATCCAAACTTCCATCAGTACTAGGAAATGCAGTCAGATTTGTGAACTAAGGTTCCAAACACATCTCTCATATTTTCCTATGGATTTCTTTGTGGGCTTTCAGACAGACATGTGTTTTTCTTTGGGTACTGCCATAGAACTCCCTTATGGGATAAATTTCAACTCTTAGCCTTAGGGAAAAATAAATGTTTCCTTATATATGAATTTAGTGCATATCATGTTGCATAACTATTCCGGGTGCAAAGTCTCTGTACGTTTAGAATATTCTCTTGGGTTCAAACTTTCCTTTCAGAGATAGTTTGCTTAAAAACTTATCAGTATTGTTAAAGATAGAGACTTACATGCTTTCATACACAATGCTGTCAAAATCAGATCCCTAAACTATTCTTGATCCTATAAAGATCACAATTAAAATTCTCTCTCCTTGCCAAATTCCTATCTTTAACACTGGATGGATAATCCTTTAGGGTATTGGTATTTAATACTGCCAAAAAGAGGTATTAAATGCTGTAATTCCAGAAAGATTACTTGGGTCATATCAAACATGGAAAAATAAAGTGCATTTTAGTTCTCTAATCTTAGAATTGCCCTGTAATGTAATGAAGTGAAATTGCTTCATGTAAAGAAGTTCATATGGTTGAGTTCCTGGCTCTGGGCTTTAGCAAAATGAAATGAAGGGTTCCGTAGGTCCCTGATGAAACTTAGGTGATCAAAGGCAGCAGTTCTCCTCTGAGTTTTTTGGATTGAGTCTCTCAGTGAAAGAGGTCAAAATCCTGTAGATAGAATCACAAGTTCCAGAGTCAATTGATCTGAGTTCAGTTTGAGCTCTGGCACTTTTTAGGTATAAAATGGCATAGTATGATACATCACAGGGAATTGGTGGTGATTAAATAACGAATGTAAATTGCATATCATGAAGCCTAGCATATAGGAAGTGCTCAATATATGTTAGCTAAAATGAATCAACAAAAATGAAATTTCAACTCAACACTCACTTCCAGTTGTCTGTGAAGCAAAGTTAGGCTATAGAGAAATTTTGCCAATGATCTTAGAATTTTCTTTGGACTGGACTATTTTGGCACCACCCATCCTGGTAGAAAAGAACAAACATTCACTGGCCACCTACTGCATGTCAGATGATATGTTAGAATCTTTGCATAGATGAGCTCACCAAAGTCTAAAAAAAAAACCCTCCAAAACTATGAGAGATTCTCATTTAAAATAAGAAATTGAGCTCAAATAATAATAACAAGTTGCAGAGCTGTGATTTAAATCCACAGCTGTTTGATTCCCTAATCCAAGCTCTTTCTGCTCCACCATGCTGCCTCTTAAAAGGCAAAGCCCCCTGAAATTTATGCATGTTATATGACTTCTGTGTGCTATGAAGGGAGTAAAATAAAAATGGAAAATTATGAAGATTTTTATCATAGGGGAAATTTGACATTTCCTGTGAAAAGGCATAAATGATTTCAAATGGTGAACAAGACTAGAAATGTTCTGGGAGGCTTTGAAATGTGATTAGGCATCTTCTCAATCTTCACAATCAGACATATTCTCAAACTTGCTTGTGTAGATCTTTCTCTTTTACTCCCACCCACACATACATGCAGTCGCAGTTGCCTGAACCAGTTTGTGTCTATTGGCAATCTTGGACTCAGCTAGATGGGATAAGGATGGCTGAGAATGGTGGGTAGAAAATAACTACATTTGCATTTTGAAAAGATCACACTGTCTGCAGGACAGAGAACAGATTAGAGAAAGGCCAGACGAATGCAGGGAGATCAGCTAGGAGGCTACTACAGTGGTCCAGGTGAAAGATGGTGATTCTTAGAGTAGACTAGTAGTAATCCAGAGGGCAAAAAGTCAATGGATTTGAGTTAGAAGTTAAATCAATGGGACTTTGTCATGGACTGCATATGAGTAATGACGTGAGGAAGGTTCGGATAGAACCCTTAGTTCTGTAAGAGTCAGAGATAGGGGAAACAGAGGTAGAATCATATTTTAGGGGAAAAATCAATACTTTTGTTTTTATATATGCTGAATTTGAATATGTTGAGTTTGAGACTTCCAAATACAGATTTAGGATAAGAAATTGAAAATAAAGATGTAAAGCTCAGAGAATAGTCCTGGACTAGAGATTATAAATATGGGGGGTGATTATAATATATATAGTGATTAAAGCTTTGGATGTAGATGTGATTGTCTCAGAAAAGCACAAGACATGAGATAAAAGGTTGTTTACTGCCCATGCTTTTGGAACTCTAATGTTTGATAGCTGGGTGTATGAAGATGAGTCTGCAAAGAAGGATACAGGAGAGACCAGAGATAGAGGAGTAAAACCAAGTGGTTGTGGTAATTTCAAAAGAAGAGATGATTACTAATAGGTATGATAGTAGATGAGGACTGAAACATGTCTACAGATTTTGTAACATGGAAGGAATTAGTGACTTTAACAAGATCTCTTTTGGTGAAGTGATGAAGGTAGAAACCAAATTGCAGAGGTTGAGAAATAAGCAGGAGGTAAGAAATTGGAATAGTATACTTGTATAGGAAAAATAAAATTTCTTGAGGAGTTTGGTTGGGTTTTTAGAAC